TTCCCCCGGATAAGCTGGAGGAGGTGGCTGGGGAGAGGGAGGTCTGGGCCTCTTTGCTTAGGCTGCTGCCCCCGCGACCCGGCCTCGGATAAAGCGGATGAAGATGGATGGATGGATGGACTTTAAAACAGACTTTTTCACTTTGACTTAATATCAAAAACAGATTGAAGCTACATTTACTGAATTTGTTTGACCACATGGCATAAGAGGAATTTAGCAGTAGCCTGATCTGGTATTACCTGGTTGCACATCCTCAGATGCTGAACTCCATAAGCATTTAGACTTCTATTTCTACACCCTGATGTATGAATTAAGTATGCACTGTTCCTTACCAGTGTTTGGTTTGTTGCCAACTTACAGGTGAAATATTTGTCTCTAATATCGCTAGCGTTGATATTTTTGTTGCGACTGGCTAGAGTTGAGGATCCACTCCAATCTGATCTACTTCTGACTTTGGTTCGCTACTATTTGTGAAGAGCATATTCAGAGGGTTGTTTGAGGTTAAAAAACAATGATGTTGCATAAGAGTGATGCAAAACAAATAAGCTTAGTAGCTCAGCCCAAGCCAAATGCCACTGGCATATAACACCTACACTATATTGTCAAAAGTATTCACTTTTCTGTCATTACACGCATATGAATATGATTCTTAATCCTATAGGGTTTATTATAATATCAGTCCACCCTTTTCCAGATATAACCTTTCTTTGTGCACTGGTGCGCAGTCATGTTGGAACAAGAAGGAGCCATCCCCAAACTGCTCCCATAAAGTTGGGAGCATGAAGTTGTCCAAATGTCTTGGTATGGTGAAGCATTAAAAGTTCCTTTCTCTAACTGATACAATGGTGGCAAAGAGAGAAAGTGACGTAAGATTTGCGCATGCGTGGTACCCTATCGGTACCACGCAATCTATGGAGTCCCTTGTGGGGCTCCATAGATTTGTGGTAATTTTAAAAAGTTTACATTTCTTTGGTATTGAACCGCAGAAATTAGGCTTTCTTGTCTGAAGTCATTTAAAAAACCGCGGCCAACAGTCTGTCACTGAGTAACAGTGTTGGGCAAGTTACTTTGAAAAAGTAATTAATTATAGTTACTAGTTACTTCTTCAAAAAAGTAACTGAGTTAGTAACTGAGTTACAATATTCTAAAAGTAATTAATTACTAGAAACAGTAACTATTGCGTTACTTAAAAAAAATGTTTAACCCTCTGGGGTCCAGGGTATAATTGTTCATTTTTGATTACTTTTGATTTTCCCGCTACATTTCACCTTTAAGTGCGCCCCAGGGCAGCTGTGGCTACAATGTAGCTTGCCATCATCAGTGTGTGAATGGGTGAATGACTGAATGTCGTGTAAAGCGCTTTGGGGTCCTCCGGGTACCCCTGCCTCCAGAGGGGCAAACCGTACCCGGATCCAGGAGATGCAACCCTTCTCTCTGGGGTGGAGGAAAGCAGACCACCTCCTTATCTGCAGTAGCAGGGAGGCCCCGCCCACTCATATGTAGTGTTGCTGCGTGTTGTTGTAAAGTGCATTTAAAACAAAGGGAGGGCATGGTGCTTCTTGCCAGAGAGCAGCACGGCTCTTCCCGAAAACCCTGACACACACAACAAAACTATTGACTATACTACACACTAACTACACAAGATTTGCACTAAACGTTGCAAATCTCTCACGTCTCAAAACACCGCTGTCACTCCTAAAACTTTCCCCCCTTCTTAAACAACTAAATGCCATGTTGCCATATCAAATGGTACATTTTTCAACCAATAGGAAAGGGTGGGGTTTTTTTGGTTTTGGTTTTGCTCACAGGCGGAGAGTGCTTGCAAGCGTTTTCCTTATAAAACCCCATTTTTACCGTTTCTTCCTGCAGTAAATATAAACAACAATAGTATTCAGGAAGAAAACCAAACATTGCACATATTTTTATCATAACTGGTTTTACGTGGCCTATCAACACAATTTAAAAACTGGTATAAAGTCCACACTTTTTCCATCAATTGTTCCATCTGATCCTGCTCACATCTCCAATGGTTGTCATTAACGTGGCTTCACTCCACATCAGCCACGCCGCTTTGCTAGCTAAAACACCGGTGTCAGCACATAAGGACGCTGTCATAGCCTGTCAACGAGGTTGATTAGCTGCGTATATAAGAATGTGAATCGCATTATTGGCTGGACTATGGGATAAGGTGGCATTGTTCTAATCCCATACGGGAGCAGCCAGTCACTTACTGACTAAAACTGCAAAACAGTGTTAATCAGTAAAGGCTATTTTTTGTTTTGTTTTTTATTTTTTGGTCATAAGCGGTCATATGTTCACGCTAGCAAGAGAGTTCTTGCTAGCGTGAACATAAACGTGATGAAACTATTGAGGAAAAAACACCGCATATATATTGTTTATAATGACTCTGGTTTTACGTTGCCTATCAACACAATTTAAAAACTGGTAAATATCACTTTGTTGCTTTGTCATCTTGAAGTGGTTATGTAATTGGCTTACCGCCACTACTTTATTCGTCCTCAGTCAAACAGCAGCATTCATGTGATTGTTTTGCCCCCTTAGCTCCAGGTGTTGTGCCAAAAACTGATCGTCTACCAGACAGTGATTGCTGTCCGCGCGACCGCGCAGCTGCTTAAAGCTGTAATGCCCAGATTACTATTATATTACTATTACTATTATACAGCTACTTCCATGCAATTGATATATGGTGCAGTAAGCTGAACACACCTTCAACTGTCTGTTTGTTGAAAAATAGTAATGCGACCGCATTTTCTTGTTAGTAACAGTAATGGCGTTGTAACGATAGGAATAGTAATTAGTTAGATTACTCGTTACTAAAAAAAAGTAACGGCATTAGTAATGCCATTACTTGTAACGCCATTATTCCCATCACTGGTAATAAGCAAGAAAATAATGCAGAAAAATTAGTTTTTTTCGATGGGAAACTGTTCTTAAGGTACACTGAGAGAGAGAGAGCTGTGCAGGAAGTGTGATGTTATTGTGGTGGAAGCAAAACAGCAAAAACAAGAGAATTCATGACAATGTTTTTGTGAAGCAAAATGTGAAGCTTAGGATCTTCTTTTGCTGCTGGTTCAGTCAATTTTGGTTGGGTAGAGACAAAACCTGCAGCTTCAGAATCTAGCACAAAAAAATGACAAAGTGCAGACCTGCCGACGCAACAAAATGAGTGAGCTGTCGGCTTTCAGACCCGACGGCGTGTGTCTGCGTCCATTTCACTTGAAGGCACGTAGGGTGAGAAAGCTGACATCTCACTGATTCTGATCCGTGCTTTGTGTCTACCTCTTTTTGCAGAATCCATTTACCTGGTCTGGTTTGCTGTTTCAGCTGTTTGAAATAGTTTTCTGAGCTTTAACCTGAGATTCTTCTGTTTATGGCAAAATACATGTATATTTAAAAATCGATGCAGGATTTTAATGAATCAATATCGCTTTATTAAAGCTAAAATCAATTTTAATCAATAAATAGATTATTGAAACCCACTCCTAGTAGCGATGTCTCTGTGAATGGTACTCATGGCCATTGATCAATGGTCTTTGATCAATGGACTTCGATCAGTAGTTGTTAATCAATGGTCATGAGAATTTGCATCAAGGAACTGACCTCCCAGCACATTGTTCATTCGGTGGTGCTAGTTTCAGTCATTGTGCAATGTACTCTTTATAAGGTTGGTCACTTGGATGAGTGACAATACGTTTCTCCCACTGAAACCACTTTCTCCAGATGAACTAATCAACTTTTTGGGATTTACAAAATGATCTTACTATATTGAATAAGACTGTGACTATAAAAGGTGTTAATGGATTTAAATCAAGTAAGAAGAGAATCATTTACACATAGAAATCTATTCATTCATCTCTTTTTTGCAACCAGAGAAGTCGCCCTGTGCTGGTAATTAGAAAGCATGCACGTTTAAGAGACTTTGACTTCATTTTACAGACTGCAAGATTACTTCTATCTTTTATATACAGACACATAATTAGGTGGATCACATGGCTGCCTAAAATAGAAGAAGTGTGATCGATTTAAAAGGGTATAAGGACCGATGAGACTACGCAACCTGTGTAAACCCAGTGATTTTTTTAAGTGATTTACAGATCATGTCAAATTACCAGGGAAACACTATTTTCCTCAATCAGAAGGGAGATGTGCTGTAGAGTACGCACTAGGGAACAGTTTTTTTTGTCTGTCTCTCCATAACAGGAATTCAGACAGTCTTCATTTGTAAAAAGCTGGAGCAACACCTTGACAAACGAGTTTGAGTAAATAGCAGGATGTAAAAGAGAAATAATACTACGGAACAATGACACAAAAAAACAAACCAGATACTGTTGACGTGAATAGCTGCATTATCTCAGACACCTGCTGACAAACATGTCAGTCAGACCAAATGACAACATATTATAAATGAAGCACCTTAAATACGGGTGTGTTTAAATAACAAAAGTTCTCTTCGAAACTACGTCCCTATCACTAAAACAAGTCACACAGAAAGAAAATGTCTCTAAAAGGAAAAAGAAAATGCTGTTCAGTCTTTTAGTTCCTTCTAGTTGACTACTTATCAGTTTGAAACATCTCCAGTAAGAAATTGAGTTAAGATAATCAGTCAAGAGTTTTACAACTGAAAAATTTCAAATGATTGTTTCCTTTGTTCCTTCTATTTTTTTTCTTTCTTCAATATTTTCAGCGACACCCTCCTCGCCCAGAAAGCAAACTGAGGTTCCAGATTTATCTACTGATATCCGCTCTTTGCTCTCTACATACTACAAGGAAAGGTAGGTTTTCTACACCTCTGAGCGTGCAGTCTTTTTAAAGCCTGCCAAATACACCTGTATGTATTTGCCAGCAGGATTTGCTTTCTCTTCAGTCATATTAAATAGTAAATCCACTCCTAATGCTCACCACCACACGCATAATCACTTGTTGTATTATGACATTCCAGCACAGCTTACCTCGTAACTACAAGCAATGAAACATTACACTTTGCAATTAATATTTGTTATGACCCTGGTAAGTTTTCCGTAGGCAAGGCCCAGGACTTAGGTATATTTTGTGGGCCAGATGTGGCTACAATATAGCTAACAATATACCTAACTGTAAGTGGAAACTTACAGTCACAAGTTGCACATTAAACCTATTTGAGTGTCAAGTTTATTCTCTGTCATATAAAAAGCATGCACAAAGTTGTGTATAGCAGGCCACAATTGTGTCTTTCTCTGTCATCTTTCTAAAGGACATTGTTCCAGCTGTACTGCGCTTTGGTTAAATGCAATGCACGAGAAGAAAGTTTCCAAACAAGTCTTTGTCTCACTTTACTGTCATTAACGTAAACATTTAACATGCTAACTGAGGCCTGTAGAGCCTGAGATGTAGCTCTTGTGTTCTGAGCATTGCACAGTCTGACCTTGCGGTGAATCTGCTGGGATGTCTGCTCCTGGGAAGATTGGCAACTGTCTTGGATTTCTTGAACTCTTCGAGTTGGGAATAATATATTACTGTAAGAATAATTAAAATGAAAGGTGTGATTTTCATACTGTACGGAAGCTTACAGCAAACATGCACACAGACAAAGCGTGCAAAAATTCAGTGGCATACAGGTCACAATTGGGTCTTTCATGCGCTCGTTGAGGTCAGCAGGGACAGGAATTAACACAGAAATGCAGGTCACGCTTAAGCAAGATGAATACCTCTTAAAGTTATACAAGCATTGTCTTTTGTAATCTGGACTGTTTTTCAAACACTAGCTGATAATTTAACTTCTTAGCAAACAAAACTTACAAGTTCAAGTATGCACATAATAGACCTTGTCAAAAGGAACATACTGTGTTCAGGAGTGTGGTGATTTGTGTACAGAGCTAAGGCCAGAGATCAGTCAAAAGATGTCTCAGAGAACAGGTTTTACAGTTTGATAGTTGATATATGCGAGGTAACAACCGGAGAAGACAACTAGACAGGCTTTCACAGTGCTAGCTTTGTTTAGTTTTCAGATACTTTGTGTTTGTGGTTCAACCGTGTTTCTTTTAACAGAATTCCACTAGTGACTCAGACTGTTACACTGCATGCATAGCTGTGGGATAGAGAATATAAAACTACCTGACAGATTTCCAACTTTGCATTAAGAGAAAGATGCTTGGCAGAGAGGTTATGAAATAAACTCACATCTCAAAAAATAATACAATTTTGGACTCGAGGCCTTTAAATGGCCAAAGACAAATTCTGCAATTCTGAAATATTCTGCACCTAATGAGGTTGCATAACAATTTAATCAGTTAGGTAATAGACGTATAAGGTAGATGTATCTTTTTTAAATAACAAAACACAAAAAAGCATGGTATTTTCTATATATTAATTTATTCTTCTTTGTTCTTTCAAAGATACTTTAAGAAGTTTGCAGTATAAACATGTGCAAAGTGCAGGCATTTTTTATTTGCACCACTGAAACCCATTTTAATATACTTGAGCAGAATTATTATTTCTTTAACTTATTTTGTGGCGTATCGTAAATATGTAACATTCATGTCATTGTTTAAAAGAATTAATTTGGATTTTTGTAATACATATTAAATGAGAAACATTTGAACATAAGTTTATTTTTGTTTCCCCGAAAAATAGATATTCAGGAACACTGCACATGCACTCAAATTGCTACGTTTTTAAGTGGTTATAACCTGTTAATGCAATGTACATAAAAATTACAAAATTTTCAACTATACTCAAAAAGTACCCCATGGCAACATGTTCTTTTTAATATGAAAAGTTATTGTCATTTTTCATCAAAATGTACAACTTTAGAGACCTGTACTGCATTACGATCACAATAATACAAATATACAACTTCAGTGATTTGTGTGCAAATTTGTGCATTGCGTTGAAAATACACAACAAGTTAACCTTAAAGAACTCGGTGGATGTAGTAGAAATTTTAATGGCTTGTTAACCGGACCCCACGCTGCACCCCTTTAAAGTTTGATCAGTTTGATCAGAATTCGTTCAAATCTTTTTGAGCTGTCGTTCTTACAAACAGAATGACATGCACACAAACTATACCAAAAATGTAACAGACAAACACACACAAAAAAAAAAAAAAAACCCCACTTGGACTTACTTGGAAAACAAGACAAACTGACATCCTTGTGACAGTAATCTAGCAAATAACGTGCGCTTATTCTTGTAAGTGAAGCAACCATATCCTCATACCAGCAGATCATCTGACAAGAAACTTGCAGTTGGAGTTGTGGTTTCGAGACCCATTTGTTGAAATCACTTCAGCTGCCAAGAGGGTGTGATGCTTTGGTACATAATGGAAATATTAATGGGTGAGGGAGAGGGAGGATGATTTTTCATGTCAATTTATCATCCAGACACCTATATTACCCAACAGAGATAAGGTGCATTAGATGGCAACTGTTTTGTTTTCTTTGATTCTTTGATTGATTCTTTTTTTTGTGTTGTCCCATTTTTTACAGTTATTGATCACCCTGCCAAGGACACTGGGAAAGAGCGAAACACACTTCTCAGCAGCCCAATTCTGGTTACCTTGCCCGGTCAAGGAGTTGGAGAAGGACATGATAATTGGTGGTCTTTCATGATTTGGAAGGTCACCAGAATTACTCAACTATGCTTACTTTTTCATGCTACTCCTGAAAGAATCCAAACTGTTTATCCAACAACAATAGCTAGCATTTTTTGGAGTCGAGGTGATATAATGAGATTCCACTCTAATTTTGATTCCATTTACCTTGGCCCCTTATCTTTAGTTACTGTGATAAACATGAAAATATCCATTTATTAGGCACCCACTGGGATAAAATCATGTCTCACTAATTTGAGTATCATGTGCAGCAACATGTGCATTTATATTTTCGCTTGGTTTTATTGTTACACAGGAAGACATGCGTTAAATTTTAGTTGTACTAATGGGGATTAACAATAGCATTGTGCTATTATAGAAAATAGCAGAAGTAGTCTGGCATATTTCTACTGAGTCATAAGGCAAATACTCTAGGAGGAAAATCTTTTTACTGTAAATCAAGAGCACACCTTACATTGTCTACAAATATTTTCACTGATGTTATGCTTGTTTTGGCCACACCTCTTGGAAGCATATAAAACTCTACACTTCCAGTCAACATCCTGTGGAACAAGAAAAAGGTCATTAGTATTCGTGGAGAAAGCAGGTAGGAATCAGAGAAGGGTTTCTCAGAAGTTTGTCACTGGGTGTGCCTTAATGCTAAAGAGGACGTGTGAGAATGCAATAAGCGATTAGCGCTAATCTAATCTGTTATCTGGAGATGCCAAGGATGCACAGAATCCTTCGAGGCCTCACGTCATGATCAGGAATTGCTAAAATCTTATCTTATGTTAAGTATTGTGTTTTAGTATTTTGTTTTCGCCTTGCTTTGTGAAAAAAGAAACTTGAAAATTCATGGATGACAAAAACAATTACATTTCATTATTAAAAAATATAATTTTGATTACAGAGCTTGAGCATACTAGATAACAATTAGAGATAAGACATTATTTTGGTAATTTTTATTTATGGCAATTGTGACATGAACCTTACACTGGATGGTGGTCTAATAAATTTGTTGAATTCTGTACGTTATCATAAAGGACTTTTAAACAATTTGTAAATGTAAAGCTAAAAATACACTGTGTGCTTTATTTGAATTAATACAAATTTCCTTATAAATTATGAATCTGAAAGTGAACTTTTGAGATAACTTAGTTTGTTCTTGATACCAGTGCACACGTTTGAGGATGTGAAGCACAGTGCGTTCCACTCTTTAAATAGAATATGTGTAACACGGAAGCACGAAATTACATTTGGCTCGAGGGTTTCCTGGGCTAGTACTCCTGTCAACAGCTTTTACATAAGAAAAAAGCTATTTTTGATCAACCTGTCCAGGGTGTACTCTGCCTCTTGGCCTATGACAGCTGGGCTAGTCTCTGACCCTGGGTAATTGGAAGAAAATGGATAAATGGATAGACAACACACGAGTATTATATGATTATTTTAACCCATACAAAGGCCCGGGTTAAGCAATACTGTGCTGTGTAGTGACAGTCAAATTCCTGTCTGAACATGTCACATGTCTCTCAGGCACCGTTGGGGTTTTTTTTTTCCAAGCATTTTGAAATGTCAAAAATGCATTTAGGGGAAATAAAAAGAAAAAAACAAAACAAACCCAGGAAACATTAGGATCAACTTTGATCTACTCAGTATTGTTCCCACTGTTAAGCACTATTCAAAAAAAATAATAAAATAAAATAAAATTTAATCATAATAGATTTCGCAGCACTTTTGTGATGTTAATTAGCAATTTGCACGTAATAAATTAACGTCTAAGTTTACTGCAGTGGGAGTGTCGCTTCTTTCTCAATGTAGTTGTCAAACCTTAAAATTCCACGCTTTCAATCAAAGAGTAGTAATTACATAAATAAAAATTAAAAGAGATACTGAGCTGCCTATGTATCATTCAGGCATGACAAATAAAAACAATGCTCACTAAAGGACAACTGACGTATCTTCTTTTCACTAAAGTGAAAACACGTCTTTTATTCTACTGCAACTATGAAAATGTTAAATAAAAGGGACAAGTAAATGTCACATTTGGATAGTGAAGTTCAGATATGCTTTAAAAACAAGTGAAAAAAGAGGATTAAGAGAAATGATTCACAAAATGAAAGGATAAAATAGTGTTCACTACATGTAAATGTGTAGAGCGTTGCAGTTATAGCTTACACATCTTTCAAAAATAAAACTGTCTCCAGATGGGAAAGGTTTACAAAAAGAATTTATTGTTTCAACAGATTAATTTCACAATATGGTGTAAAACTGGTGTAAAAAAACCCACTATTAACAAATAGAAAAAATAATCTACTTCATGTGCTTTAAACAAGATTGCACAACAATGAGACTGAAGTGTTAAATGCAATCAACATTTCAGTGCAGAACACAAAAAAAGCGCAGATTATCTTTAAATCAAGCAGATTTGAATGGTTGCTTGTATTCCTTTTTTGTGTTCAGCTGATACAAATTGATTGGAAATTAACCTGAAGTATATTCAAAATATAGAGCTATAATATGAGCATGAGCCAGCTTTAACATGGTGTTGGTGTGTTTGTGGTATTGTCTTAACTGGTCTCTACAATGAGTTTGAGATGATTTTTTTCAGCTTCATGACTTCTTCAGTGGTGAGCTGAAAGAGAGGAGCAGAGCTAGAATTGACCATGAGCATAGCTGAAGGCTCCGTCTCCGCCTGCTGCTTCCCTCCCTGGACACCTGCGTAGAATTTATAAGAAAAGTCTTGGTGAGTCCTGGGGGGACTAGGGTCGCTCTCCACTTCAATGGATGACTGGGTCTCTCTCTTATGGGCACCCCAGAAATTGGGTGACTTGGAGTTGTATGACTTATTAATATCCTGCTGATCTTCTGACAAGACATCCTGGTATACTGCATTTTTCAAAATGGCACCTGAAGGCAAAGGCTTGTAACTCATGAATTGGTTTTGGATTTTATTGTTGTGACTGAGGTCTGGCACATTTCTGAATGTTAGATCGTCAGCAGAACTCTGGCATTGGGGATTTGTGTGAAATGTCAGTTTGGTAGGGAAAGTGTTTGCGTTAGGCCAATTCCTTTCTGCAGGGTGTCCTTCCTGAGTAGGCTGAGGAACCTTACTTTCATGCATCATTGCTGAGGACTTGCACATCTTGAGCAATTTATGAAACATTGACAGGGGTAACTCAATTTCCATTTTGCCATCCTTCTCTTGAGGGAGACTGGACAGTATTTGGCTAAGATTGGGCCCCATCACTTCTGGAATCACTTTTGTCTCTTCTTTTGGCGTGACTGCAAGGTCTGTGTTTGGAGAACAGGGTTTTTGTGCCACTGCGGCAGCCTCTGTTCCCAGTGGCAGAGCAGAGTCATATATGGGGCTGCTTGAGGGTGCCGTAATATCGACATCAATAACTTGTTCCTCCTGTGCTTTCATGGTATAAGGAGAGGGTGCAACTCCATCACTTGACTCCCCATCTTGTGTCTCAGAGCCTTCATTTGTCAGAGCCCCAGTATGATGATGGGCATATAGTGTGGATGGTTTGTTCAAAAACTTTGGGTTCTTGCTGGCTGAAGGTGGAGCAAATGATGAAACAGGGTTGTTGCTGATGTCCCGGGCTGATGATTTAACGCTGAGGTTCAGGGGCTCAGCCAGTCCGGATGAGGTCTTGTACCGCTCAGCCAGGTAACGCAAGTGCTCTAATGGTTCCTTCACCCTCTCTGTTGAGTTTACACAAGGTTGACTGTAAGGGAATTGGGGCTTGGGAGCAGGGGGGTGTTGTGTGGCCAATATTGAGGGGGGCATAGGGATGTAGGGAGGCAGAACTGTGGGGCTTGACTGATAGTAGGGAGGGTAGTGGACAGACAGAGGGAAGAGATTTCCGTGTTGGTCTGTCTGGAGGTTATGAGGGTTCTGCTGGAGAAAAACACAACAGTTCATCAGGTGTTTGAAGAGTAGTTATGGAGCTACATAAGAAAGTAATTCCACTCTCATTCCTGCTTGATAAAAATTACACAGTGTTGCTGTTAGCCTGATAGTTGTTCATTATTTTCTTTATGCCTTCACTTTAACAAGGCTTTGGCACCTGTTACATATTTTCAGTACAATCCATGAGGTTCTTAACTTCCTATGTAACCCATTCTTCAAAAAAACAAAACAAAACCCGAAATAAATTTCCTTCAATGTAATGATTTATTTATTGTGTTTTAAAGATAAAATATTTAACTAACAATGAAAGGTTTTCTAAATAGCAACAAGAGTAAATTGTTCAATATGGAATACTTTTTCATTTAATATAATAAATAATATTTCTATAATTTTAATCAATGCAAAGCAATAAATCAATTTTGTTATAATTTTTTGTGTGTATATGTCAGTAAAAACCAATACCAACCTGATACACTGGTATGGATACCAGCCTGCGTTTCGCTGGTCTCTGGACACCGTCGTCTTCTTCTTTACTGTAGCCGGCAACAAAGTGGAATGGCTTTAGCTGATGATGAGGCATCATGGACCTGATGGAAATGCCTTTCACGTGGCATTCATAGGGCAGCAGCAGCCTACACAAATAAAAAAAAAAGGATCAGATAAAGACAATATAACACCCATTCACAGCCAGATGGACGGACAGGCATAATTTGAACTTACTTCTCGTAGTGTCTGCGGGTGCAGGTGGCTGCGCTTGTACTTCGAGGGTTTCCACCAAGTGTATTGTAAACCTGTTTCCACAATTGCTGAGCAGTCACCTAGAGTAATACAAAAGTGTGACTGTGAGTTTTGACATCTTAGCAATATTATTTTTACTGCAAGCTTAATTGAAAATACCTTTAATATAATACTACTATACTATAATACTAACTTACTATTACAATGACAATATTACTATTATTATTATTATTATTATTATTATTATTATTATTATTATTATTATTATTAATGATAATAATAATAGCCATCATGATCATCAAAATTATTCTCATAATAACGAGATTATTCGATTATTACCTGGTGGTAGCCGCCCAAGTCATTGACAGTTTTGAACATGACAAATAAATCAACTGAAAAAAGGAGAGACATACATGTTAAAATAAAATTGACACAGTTGCAAATTTAGGAATATTAATTTCACTAGAAACCCTTTAAAAAAAAATACTTTCACAAAACATTTAATAACTGAGAACTAAATATCACAGTTTCTCAGAGCTGAAGCTAATAGCAGTGGTTTGCTTTAGCACTTGTTTTAAAACAGAATGAAGAAACTGTAGCAAGAAGAACATGTTCTTCATGGCATCTTCATAGCATTTAAAGAAAAGGCATTCATGATGGATGAATTTTAAAGAAACTGGATTCGATAATTGTAATAATTCATCTTTGTTCAATGACCTGATGAATAATTTAACAAATATTTATATCTTGATTACTAGCTCAAAATTTAACCCAAAGTTACATCTACAAACATTAGGAAAGAGAAGCAAATTGCAAATCAAGCATAGTTTTACAGATGTTTCCTTTACTCTTGTCGCTACTACTGATTTATTGGTAGGTTCTCTATCAAAACATGTTGTACAGACACATTTCCTTTTTGAAATATTAAAAATATTTCTAATGAGAATATAACATACTTTCTAAAGTGTTTATACATTATTTTTTCTCACATTAAACAACAGCGAATTAACACATTCTTGAGCTGTGAATCCAAATGTGCTGTAATAGATAATATTTACTTTGTTTGAAGCCCAGATGTGGGATCCTTTCTATTGGTGTTTCTCTCTTCTTCATAAAAAGGTAGAGATTTTTGAGAAAGTGTTCCTCTGTGATCTCCTCCACCAGTTCTTTGGTTTGCTCCTCTTTGAATTCATTGTGTGCCATGTTCACTTGTTCCTGGAAATGCAGTTAACAGGAGAAAATATTTTATGCTGTGAACTTTTTATATTTGTGTGTTATTTATGTGAAATATGATAAACACCTCTATGTGAGGTTCCTGAGTGACAATGCCGAATCATCAGGACTAATGATCCCCAAATACATTCCAATTTCTGATTATATATCAGAGGTTAATTATGTTTGCACTTAACTCAGTAAAATAAAACTCGTCCCCTCAGATTTGCTATTTTTGTCCCATTGATATGCGATCTAAAGGGTTGCCAGTGCTCTCCTACTATATCGTCGCATTGCTTGTTTTCTCTGACAACTACACAACGGCTCTACCACAAAGGTGACTAGAGACTGAGAAATACTAAATGATGAATACTTTTTAAAACGATTTTTTAAATGCAGTTATAGGGTGACTATTTGTAGGATTCTATCAGAAATATTGTTACTCACCTGTGTTTCCATTAAGAGAACAAGGATAGGTAAGATTATTTCATTGGCCAAATACACCAGAGAAAAAGCTGTCTGCTACTACTCGATTATAGTGGTTTGTACTCTCTCCAGATGATTTGAAACAAACAAAGATCGCTGCTGCTAGTCTGTTGTCGTGTCAGTCATGAACTTATCTCCAGTGTCTGTGTGACAATGTGAGAAACTAGGAGTGAGGGTGTTTACTCTAACGTCTTTGTGCTGAGATTTCTATCGTCAAACCAGTTCAACTTGCTCTTCAGCATGCGCCCAAAAACCGTGTACTCCTGTCAAATGCCTCACATATTGGTAGAATAATGAGGAAACCAGTGGAAATTATTGGAAATTATAAAAAGGTCCCTGAACAATAACACACTGCTCAAAAAATGTAAAGAAACTAAATTAATAATTTAAAGTAAACCCCCCCAAAAAAAACGGTGGTGGTGGTGAGGGGGGTGGGGTTATAAAAAAAAAAGGATGCAGCAGGCTAGTCTGTTTTGCAAAAATATCACTGCAGCAACTTAAAATAGTACTCAGTAGTTTTTCTAGCCCCCACGTGCCTTGTATGCATGTTTGATAGTGTTTGTGCATGCTCCTAATGAGACGATGATGGTGTCCCATGGGATCTCCTCCCAGGTCTGTCCAGGACATCACTGAGGTCCTGGACAATCTGAGGTGCAACATCAGATGGACCGAAACATAGTGTCCCAGATGTGTTGGATATAGGCCAGATGAGTGTGGGGGCTCATTAGTGGTGTAAATTTAAAGCACCCACTGCCCCAACGAAAGACTGACAATGGCTTCAAGAATTTCAACTTGAAATCAGCTCTGTGCGTCGTTCCGTGGATATGCCTCTGATTGCAGCAGCCTCATTATGCCCATAATGGAGACATAATCTCCAAATAAAAAATGCTTACAAAGCCAAACAATCTCTAGACAATCACAGATCACACCACCAACCCGGTCATCCTGAACAATGTTACAGACAGCATAACGTTCTCCATGACTTCCCCAGACCCTTTCAGGTCTGTCACATGTGCTCAGGGAGAACCTGCACTCATCTGTGAAAAGCACAGGGCACTAGTGATGTGTGATACCACTGATTTCCTTTCCGATCCGATACCAAGTAAAATTCAGGGTGGTATCAGCGATACTGATCCGATACCGATACTCTGTACAAAAACTTAATGTTTCATTGTATTACATAATACAATATATAATTGTATTATGTAATTGTAATAATAACATAACCATATTGCTTCATAATGATTAGAGGACATCAGACAACTTGTTTTTATTGCTTAATAATGCAGAATAATCATATAGAAATAAAAAAAACCTGAAGTTGTGAGCTATTTGAACATGTTGCCTGCCTGCAGCACTATGAACTCCGCGAGAGACGTCTGTCTCGCCCTAGCAGCACCTGCCCTTCTCCTCCTCTTCAGTTCACCTCAACATAAGCTCATCATATTCTGTGATATGATTTACTCCGAGGTGTTTGACGAGGTCAGTGGTGTTACCACAACACCTCACTGTCTTGCCACATATATCACAAACTGCGTCTTGGCTGTTTGTGGAGGCAAAACATGACTTTGTTTGCGCTCAGCCATTGTTGTGAGTGTGCACGCCAGGGGCTGTGACACATTTATACAGCTGTATTTCGCATATGACTATGAAAGGCGTAAGAGGAAGTAATTCCTTCCAAATTAGACGATCCGAATGATATAGTTTCTTTCCACTGCGTTCATTTTAATGGAAAAACTACAAATTTACCCGAGTACTAAAATATCGATATTATAATATGAGAATCGATTCTAGAACATAAATTGCTGGTATCGGAAGAATCGATATTTCAGTATCGATCCGCACACCACAACAGGGCACCAGTGGTGAACCTGCCAATTCTGGTATTCTGTGGTAAATGCCAGTTAGACTTCATGGTGCCCAGCAGTGAGCACAGTGCCCGGCAGAAGAAATGGGCTCCCAGGCCACCCTCATGAAGACTGTTTTTGATTGTTTTGTTTTCACCCCACCGTTCTGCTCATCAGATCTTTTTTTTTTTGCTCTGACAGAGCTCATCCTGTTCCCTCTTGCACAAAGGAGCAGATGGGTTAAGTACCCTCTACAGTCCTTGTCCAGCTCTCTTACAAATCCTGTAATACAACATATTGATGTGGCATCTTGGAGGAGTTGGACTACCTGTGCAACCTCTGTAGGGTCCAGGCATCGCTTCATGCTACACTGTTAAAAAAAATATCTTAAAAAAACGGTAATATTCCGGGAGCTGGGTCGCCAAAATACTACCATAAAATAACAGATAATCACTTTCTCATAAAAATACGGTTATTTCCAGTAATGACAATACAGTTTGTTGCGCTAATTTTACATGGGATTCTGCCTTTTCCAAGTGCTTTTAGGCATTAAATTAGGAACATTTTAACGTGACCAAACAATAAAATTACCTAAAAACAATGTCAATGAATGTGGCAATATGAATCATAATACGTAAATGTACAAAAATATACAGTTAACAGTTGGTTTAAATAATAATGGATTGCATGCCCTGGGACAGACTGACAAAGGTGAGGCTGCCATATCGCACCATTGGCCCCTCTGGCCATCACCAGTAGGCGAAGAGTCTTGACCACGGACACAATACCGAGAGTGTCCGAGCCGGGCCTCGAACTGGCAACCTTCTGATCACAAGGCGAACTGCCAACTCTTGAGCCACGATCGCCCTAAATAGCAGTGATAATAATACTTATGTGATGTAACACAAGCTTATAGGAATCATGTTATATACTTTTCCATGGCATTACATTTGAATTCAACAGTTCAATCTTTCAAATAATGGACAGATATTTGTGAAATCGTGATACATTTGTGAATCTGTATCTAAATATGCATATGTACAGACAGAAACATTTAATAATCATGAAAATTATGTTTTCTTACATTACAGTGATTTAACGTTAATTTACATTTGAAATCACAGTCTATTTACGTAACTTGATGATATTCTAGAAGAACAGAACAAAACTGTAAAATTCACAGTAAAATACTTTTACATTAGGATT